ACTACTACAATGTCATATTACTATCACTAGCAGGATGCTCGTGAAAAAACCCCCCGTGGGCACTGACAAGAATGTATTCGTAAGAAATGCTCGGGTATGGTAGTCCCGTTCGCTGTCTTGGATATCACTACCGCGCGTCCGCATGCACATGCGTGGATTACTCGATAGCTCATCCAATTCCGGCCATGCCACTATCTGCGATGACCTTGGTGTGGACTCACAGGCAGAAAGGCGCAATTCTGCCTGTCAGGGTTTTGCTGAGGGCCTGCTCTGTCCAAATTAGCAGGTTGGCACTCTGCATTCCTACAGTGGTTCAAATTTGTGTTCTTCATCTTCCAACTAATCCTACAAATACTTATTTTCGTAAAACAATAGTACGAGGGTCGTTTGGCGAAATTAAAAAACATCCGGAGCCATCTTATGAAGAGCGGCTCGTTGGCGTGGTCCCTTACTGCGATTCCTGTCACGTACTAGCGAAGTCCTCGTGGTTGAGAGCCAGTTTACTTTAAAGTACGTTATGGTGTGCTTGCGAAGTGGTTGAAGTGGCTCCTAACGGCCTGACACAGTGCATTTACTTGCTTTATAATGTTTCGCTGCTAGTTTCGAGTATCCTTTGCCTCTTCGTCATCCAGTTAAACTGAGAAAAAACTGGGATTCGAATCGATGTTAGTGGTTTTCAAACAAACCAAAATCTTGAATCCTCTGCCGCCGAACTACAGATCCAGGCCCTGCCGGCTGCGATCGGGGACATACAGTTCATCACTCTGGTCTGATTACAGGATGAAACATACACATTTTTGTTATTTTTCCGGCGTCAATGTCGATATGCAATTGGTGGGGAGCGACCGTACCTCGAAAGGCGCAACACTGCGAAGAATCATTTAAAGTCATCATCGAGGCATGCTTCCAAAACAGCTTAGTCAACACAACTTGCGCATTATAGAGATGTTGCCCGCCGACGTTGGAAGTCTGGATTCATATATCAATGACAGAGAGAGTGTCCCTTCGAGGTAATATGTCAGGGCTGTAGGATGAGGTTCCGGTTATCCTCCATTGTAATAGCAAGTCCCCAATTCAGAGATCAAGGGTGCGAATTTGACCGAGTGGCGGTTATAGAATCAGAATGTGTTTTGGCAGATTGTGAATAATTTATTTTGACCTCACTTTGAAAAACTCGGCGACTTCTGTGGGACTTTAACCCACGACAGCAAGGGGAAGGCTTGAGTACAGCCAACGCTCTAGCCACCTGTGCTACGAGGCCCCACCAGGAATCCTGAGTTTAATCACATTTGGGTCACGTTATCCACCCAGCCTACTGCGACGTATGGAATCCACTAAGCCTGATACAGTAAGGTGACTGCCCAAGCAATCAATCCAGAATCCACCAGATGCCTATCAGGCTCATCTAATTAGTAGGTATTTGGGCAGATTTCGACCCAGCGGTCAGAATGCACAAATGATTGACTGTTGGGTGGTCTGGGACCAACAGGAAGCATAAGTGTGTACAGAACAAGGTCCTCCCCAGGTGAATCAGTGGTGAATAACTGTTAACACCACCCCCCTACAGGTTCGCGAATTGGCGCTGCAGCTGTCCAATGGTGTCCGGTCCAATTTTTCACGCGGCCCACCTCTCACTTTGGACGGCTCGTCACTAAACGATCGCTCACAAGGGATTTAAGAGCAAAACAGAGCTATCGTGCATCATCCTGTAATCAGACGCCACACTTAGGCGAAAAATCTAAATCGGAAGTCGGCCGTTTTGCCGAGGCAAAGGCTAAGAAAGACACCCTCGAGGTTTCGTTGACTGGATGGGTAGATAGTTTACCTACACACTGAACCCGTTGACGACGACAAGGAAGGAAGTATGTCTTGTTCACGAGGACGCGCACGAAGGGTGACCTCGAAGACATTTTGAGGTGCGGCTGTTGAGGCCGCAACAATATCATAAACCACGTATTTGTCCGAAAGGCGCATCCATGAGTGTAGAAATTGTCATGCCGTATTGATCGGAGCCTGACTATCATACATTCCTTGGGATCTCAGCGAACTCGGCAGACTAAATTAGAGACGTATGCTCGTGAAAAGGTATTAAACAATCGTCCTAACTGTTATGTAAAACCACGGGCTGAAATCATAACTTCACGAAATAACAGGGTTAGGCTTCTGTTTGTCAGCCTGATATTACTATAGTTTTCTAGAACGATGCCAGCGTCAGCGTCGCCATAACCTCGGTACAATGGAAAGACTAAAGTGCGTTTCGTGGGCTCTTTGCATCTGCTAGGGTTGCACTATACCACTTGTTCTAGTGTTATCTCCGCCTTTCATTTAAACTGTGACTTGTAAGTCCATAAAGGGTTCCGTAGAGGCTAGACTTTAGCGGAGCCATACGCTCCAAAAACACGGCCTGTAACTTCAGCAGAAACTTTATGGCAGCAGTTGGGTTGATAATTACCGATCTTAACCGACTGCCACGCAATGCTTCACCCAGTGAGTTGATGGATTTTTATAAAACCTGGTTAAGGACAGTCTATCCAGCGGTACACCAGGGCGTCCACTAAAGAGCTTTGTAGTGAAAAGGCGGTTCTTTTAGCACATCTAAAGCGGTGTTTTTCTGAGTCGGTTGACCGTAGGTAGATGAGCATGCATTCTGTGGAAAAGGTCATGTAAACATGCGGGAGGCGGTTCTAACCTATGTCTCTTGCGATAGTTCTGTTTAAACAGTTCTTTCTAAGCAAAATTGAAGTCTAGACTGTCAACAAAGTTCTCGCTGATTTCGCTTGCTGTACTGCTCAAAACAGAAGTAGCAGGTAAACAGTAGAAAATGAAGCTACAAACATTACTAATGTCACACATCAGAGGAGTTCATCGGAACCCCTCAAACTCTGCCCAAAGAAATGAGGGCGGATCGCTCTACTTTGAGTTTCTTCTCCGCAGCTTGCACTGGCAGTCACATATCACAGAGTGATCAATGTAACCCATAACGACAGAGACAGTTATGAGATGGCCATTTCTGACTTATTTGCAGTCGTCAGACACATGGAGAAGACCCGAGGTTGGGTTCGACGTATGACAGGTTGACAACGGAAAGCTAGTCGGAAAGGTTCACATTAGCCTCCTTTACCTTTGTCGGTAACGCCTCCGAATTGGCTCTGTGAACGCATCCCTTGTATGTGTAGAAGGGGTAAACTGACGAGCGGCGACTAACTATGTTGACTAATTCCAGTGGGCGCACTTTAAGACAAATTAACACATTCGTAATTTGTGACGTCCAAAACGAAGGAATCAATTAAACAAAATCTTTCCCAAGCCCAGAGTTTGTTTTTCCCGTCTACTGCGCAGTCACCGTGAAGGCTAAAACAGCTGTTGATGATAGTTTCGTAATTCCCATCATTTATCAAGCTGGAAAAGCACAGGACAGGAATTCAAGTCTCATGTTAGCTCGCACCCACAATTCTCGGGGCTCGTCCATGCCGATAATTCGACCGTCGTTGCCGACGATGTTCACCGCGTGCTCCACAGCGAGCTGGGAGTGGCACGGTGACCTGCGCGTGGTGGAGTTTATAAGTTTATAGCAGTAGTGGACTTGCACAGCATCTAACACACTCTCTCCTCCTCCCCCACCTGAACTCGGTTTCAAGACAGAGCCAAGAAGACCAGAGGCATGAAAGGGCGCAGGTGGATGGCACGTTCAAGGAGCACGTTGGCGCTCCACTCCACGCCTCCTGGTTAGCGCAGCAAATGTCAGGATTTTAACTCAAAAACAACAGAAGGGGCTGGCGCGACCGAGGCCACACCTAGGCATGTCGCCACACCTGGCTCGGATCCCACAGAGTGGGAGTGTCATAAAGGCCACATTAAGAAGCCATTGCAGCCTGACTCAGTCTACCAGTCGGCCGCTCCACGCAAACACATAACACTGGGCCGACTGCGAGGTTCAAGTTATCCCGTCAGTTGGCAACCTTCCAAGCCACGGCTTTTAGTGCGCCGCGATAGCTTCACGCACGTCAGATTGTTCATAGTGAGGAAAATGCGCTGAGTCGTCGACCTCACTCTCCCCATTCCCGGACCCCAGCCACTGTCCAAACCGGTAAGTTAACAGGTGCAGGGAATGGCCGTGGTGGCTGACATATACAGTGACCTTGTCTGTGCGCGCCACATGCACGACCTGGCCCCCAAACACAAGCAACTGGGTTTCACAAACATCTAGATGTTGTGGAGGGTGAGGGTGTTGTGTGATGCAGGTGTTGGTGGGGGAAAATGTGAAGGCGTGGCGTAGCCGGTGGTTGTCTACCACAGGTTTTCGTAAATGCGCATGTGGCCTAATAGGCGCACGCGGTGGGTGAATGTGCGGATGCAGTGAGGGCAGTGGAGGCGAGTGCTTCTGGTGTATGTTGGTGCTCCAGGCGCTGGTTTGCCAGTCCCTGTGCGATGGATTCGCAAGTGACCGACTAGGCGATATGTGAAGTGAATGTGCGGGGATAGTGTGGACAGAAAAAGTCGGCGGTGCCATTGTCGGTTCCGGAGATGGTGGCAGTGCTGGAGCTACTGATGGTGGACGCGCTGGGCGGCTAGGTATGCGTTGCTCTAGGAATGGCGGACGGGCAGGAGGTGCTAGGTACGTCGAGATTGCGGACAATTCGGCTCTCGTGGATACGCATGTGACCGAAGTGACCCATGCGGTGAGTGAATGTACGGGGGCAGCGTGGACAGTGGAGGCGAATGTGCCGAGTGTAGGCTGGTGTTCCAGGCACTGGTTTGTTAGTCTCTGTGCGATGAATTCGCAGGTTACCGACCAGGCCGATTTGTGAGGTGCGGTCGCAATGAGGACAGGTATGGATCGAGTTCACATCGCTGGGTTTGTTAGTCGGCGATTGATGCTTGTCGGTGTGTCAGGATTATGTGCAGTGGTGGTGGGTGCAGGAGCCACCGTAGCGGATGCTTAGGCAATGGAGGAGTGGGAAGAGGAGGATGGTAGTGGGAGTTTGGGAGTACGGTTAATGTTAGTGGTCTGCGGAAACCAGTGGCGACATCTCCATAAAAGAGATGTCGTCCATCCACACGAAATGGCTGCCCCAACGCAGTTGCATTTGTCTCGGCATGACGTAGATGCTGAGGGTTCCCGTCCGCTTCAGTACATCCGTGTCCAGGATCCGGTGCTGCCATCTCAGCTTTAGTATCCGCCGGATACAGGTGAGGTGAGGATGAGTGAGTCTTCGCGCAAGCTTCTTGTATACCGTCCAGGTCTCTGCTCCATACAGCAGCGTCGGCAGGATAACTGCCTTATACATCTTCAGCTTGGTGCTGAGTTGGAGGTCGTGGCGATTCCAGATTCTGCTTTGCAGACGGCCGAAGGCTTGGCTGGCTTTGGAGATCCGGCGGGCTACTTCATCGTCAATCTTGGTGGTGCGGGAGAGGGTGCTGCCCAGGTAGGTAAAGTTGTCCACGGCTTGCAGTTCGGCGCCGTTCACGTTGATTTTGGGCGCGACCTAGGTAGCGTCAGTGGCGGTTGCTGCATAGCCGCCGTTTTCTCCGCGTTGACGACCAGGCCGCAGTTGTTGCAGGCGGCGGCGAAGAGGTCCATGCTCCTTTGCATGTCCCCTTCCGAGGTGGTGTTGAAGCCGCAGTCATTGGCGAAGGGAAGATCATGGACGGTGGTTGCTGTTACACGCGACTGGAAGTGCATCCTCCGGTGGTTAATCGGTTGACCATCCGACCTGTAGGCGATGCGGATTCCAGGACGGTCGTCACGGTAGGCGTCCATCAGCATGGCAGAGAGCATGAGACTGAAGGGGGTAGGAGCGGGGACGCAGCCCTCCCTCACTTCCTTGGTCAGTGCGAATGCCTCTGAGACAGCTTCATTGTCTGCGACGCGGGCCATCATGCCATCTTGAAGGTGACGCACCGTCTGAGTGAATAGCTCGGGACAGCAGAATTGCTGCATGATTTTCCGCAGTTCGTCACGATTCACCGTGTCGAAGGCGTTCGTCAGATCCACGAAGGTAGATTACAGCTAAGTCCGCATTTCCCGACGCTTCTCCTGAAGTTGGCGGGCGACGACGATCATGTTCGTGGTCCCACGATGACGGCGGAAACCGCACTGGCTTTCCGGCAGGAGACCCTGTTCCGGATGGTTGTTCCGGCGGTTGAGGAAAATGCGAGCAAAGATCTTCTCCGCTATGTTCAGCAGGGAACTGCCTCAGTAGGTGTCGCAGATTTAACGATTTCCTTTGCGCTTGTAGAGGCGATCAATTGTGGTGCCCTTGAAGTCCTGCGAGACTTCTCCTTGACGCCACATCTTCTAGAAGAGCGCCGTCAGGTGATCCATGAGTTGGGGGCCACCGTGTTTATAGAGCTCAGCAGGGATCGAGTCCGATCTGGGCGCTTTCCCGCCAGAGAGCTGCCGCACGGCCCTGATGGTTTCGTGGAGAGAGGGCGAGGGGTCGGGGTCGACGTTGGCCTCCACTTGAGGCAGACGGGCGATGGCGGCGTCGGAGATGGTGGAGGGACGGTTGAGGACGCCTCAAATGTGTTAGGCCCAACGCTATAGTATTTGCGTCTTCTCAGTGGGTAGGGTACTGCAGACGGCACTAAGAAGAGGTGTGGTGCCTTAGGTTGGCGGACCGTAAACAACTTTTATTACGGCGAAAAAGTTCTTCCATCCATTGCGATCCTCGTACCCTTGGATCTCCTCGGGCTTGCGAACCGTCCAGTTGTCCAGCATCTCGAGCAGCCGCTATTGTATGAGGTTACGACTACGGCCTTGTCTCAGTATGGTCGCAGGAAAATGGTCTCCTAATGACAATCAAAAATCAGTTCAGTGTATTTACCGACTGCGACCCTCTCCTAGTTCTGAATCCTTTGACGTCCTTCCCGACGATGTATCCTCTTTCAGGCAGTTTCATGTTACTTTACCATTAAATCGTTCATTTTCCTTCCATATTGAGTCACTAAAGTTCGTAAACTTCTTTATTACATTCGTCGTTTACGTTCCTACCACACACCCCAACGCCTAATCTGACGACTTATAGATGCCTGCATTCTTCCTCTTGATCCTTATTGCTCCTCTGTCATTTATCCTGCTTTGCTCAAAAAGATCCGGTAGTTTTAAAGCGACATTTAAAATCGTTCAAGCAATTTGGTGGTCGAATTCTGGATGACGTAATCTATTCCCTGCATTCTGAACCAATCTCCGCGAAGTCTTCCTGCTCCGTGCGCCGTGGCTTTCGACCTATCTCTTGTCGTACATCGGCTTATCAACGTTCAGTATTGCCATTCCTGGGGCGCTATCTTACGTGTGAAAAGGCAGAAACACAGAAGCTAAAACTCGAACTGTCCCCATAATAGTCGTTTCTTTTTGGGCAAAACCTTTTGACTCCTAAGTAATTTATTAACTTATTTTCTGTCCACAGTGAATGGAGCCGATTTTTGCTGAAAATTTTGAATTTATAATTTCAAAATAAAGCGAATTCCTCCCCCTCTCTCTTCCTCCATCTGGTTTTGTAGTTTTACCTATACCATTTTCAATGGCCTTCTCTGGAGGAGCCCAGTGAATTTACATCGCCTAAAATGAGAGAGTGGGTTCTACTTCCCATAATAATGATGGCAGCGGCGGCGTGATCTTCTCCCACATATTGCGGTTTCAGAATTCGCTCACTGATCTGCAGACGTCAGCTAACCTTCGTTAGAATGCGAGGAGAAAAAGACCGATCCATTGATCTGGGGAACAGTTGGCTGGTGGCAGTGATAGGATCAAATGGTCGCGACAGCAACAGCCGTAGGCACAGTATCGAAGGCAGTGCTCTTTGTGTGTTTAGATTTGACAAGGAGATACGGCAAAGCATTGTTCAGTGTTTCATCTCGTGGGCGCAGTGTAACGACCCAATAGCTGACAGGTGTTTGGCGAGCGCAGACATGGGGTCGGGGTGAGTGCACCTGTGGGCTGTAGGGGTCGGCACGCCGAGGCTGGCGCCAGGCTCGGATCTGCCAACCCACTCCTCTAAGTGGGCCTGGAGACCTCAACATT